ATCTCAACACAAAATAATAAATGTAGAAACAGGGGGACCTGAACCATTCTGGAAGATAATGAGACTTCAGGTGTAAGCCAATAAGTGGTTTCTTAAATTGCTCAAGGCTAAATTGAACTTAAAATCCTTGGGTTTAATCACCAGTCCATTCTGCTTTTCTTATGCTTTATGATTCAATGCAGTCTTGTAATCAAATTGCTAAAAAATTCCTAATAATAGCCAAAATGCCCAATGAATATTTCCTTTGTGAATATTTTCCAAATCACATCTTTGCTCAAATCACAGAAAAGGATCACTTAACTGTCTCTGATGTTTCCCACTTGGCTCCATATACACATAACAAGCAAAACTTTCTAACAGGGGATTACTAATACATATTGTATACAGGATATATACAGAAATCATTTTCTACTAAATCTTTAATGTCTCCTTGGACAGCAAAACTCCCTTGGGAGTGTTTTCACAATTACACTCTGTTTTGTAAACCATTTAAAACAATTCATTAGCTCCTCTGCACATCTTTTACATGTTATCCTTGATAGGAAAAAAGTGCTAATACTAAGGAATTTTAAAATGAGGTTATTAATGTGCAACTGCAGAGGCACATAAATTCAGTTTTCTCCTCATTGCTCACATGCACATATTTTTTCACAGACCATGTAAGAAACACATCAGTTAGGAAAGCTGAAAGGTTAAAAAAGTATTACCATTTTTCTGCTAAATACAACTTTGAACTAACATTAGAAATACTGTACATTTCCCCAATTAACTCCACTGTCACCAGGGTGAAAAAGAGAGAGAAGCATAGAAAAAAAAATAAAAAAAAAAATCACTTGGTATGAGTAGGTAAGGAAAGATACCACAAAAATAATAACATCTGACAAGCAATTAAGGGGATCTTCTCTTTCTCTGTTGTTGGTAGCTAAAAAGACAAATCAGCTTGTCTGAAAAGCTGCTGAACATCACAGCAAACCTGAGGCTGCTCTAGCTTGGGGTCCTGGCTCTAAACTGCAGCTCAATTAGGGAAGTTCAATGTGAGCTGTCCATGCAAAACCATTCACCATATCTAATATTCATAAAATCACAGAATCGTAGAATTTTAGGCTTGGAATGGACCTTACAGATCCATTGGAGGAATTTTCATACACAGGCAAACTGACCTGCAGTTAACAACCACAAAAAGTGAAGCAACAAAAAAAACCCCAAAACCACAGTTATCTCATCAGCCCATTAGCCTATTGCTAATTTCTGAGTTGACCCTTGGGGTAATGGGCCAGTCCAGCTACTTATGCTCTGCAATGAATAGGAGTGAGGTCAAAGAGTTAATGAAATGAAGATAATGACAAAGATCATGTCACTAAAACTTGAAGGAGAATATTGTTTTAAGGAGGTTATGGTCTAAATAAGAGGCCAGGTGCTTTTTTCCAATTTCCCTTGATTGCATTCAGTTGAAGAAAACCCCTCTATTGCTATCAATATAATGTGCTAATAATGAAGACTTCTTGAACGTGAGTAATAAAAACAAAGAGCTTCAGCTTTCAATTTAATGATCTCTGGTGTTAAGTGTTTTCCAGCATGTAATAAAATTTTATTAAAAATTAGTCACTGAAGAAAAAGAGATGTAGAAAAATTTCCATGGAAGCTTTATGAAGTAACAGCAAATACACAGTCAATCCAGCGTAAATTCTGGAATAAAACATATGAGAAAGAGTTGCCATAACATTGCAAATCACCATTAACATTAATACAGGGTTATGGCTCCCATCTAGTTGATCATAATGAGAATAAAAGTTTATTAGCCAAAGGCAGCTATAAAAAGCAGACCAGGAGAGACTTAGATGAAGAAATAGGTCATGCTAGTCATGTTTCTGCAATTAAATTACCTTTTATCTATTTAAAAACAAATTTCTTACTACATTAGCCTTACAGACACTCACAGTACCTATGGTGAGTACCTTAGGAGACACACATTCCTTACTCTCTTTGAAATTAAATCCTAAAACAATGGGTAGTGCTATTTTTCAATGCCATTTTATTTCCTACTGTTTGTTAGGCAAGCCTAAGAGGCACAAAACGTGGCTGACTCTACACTTTGTAATTGCCTTTTTCTTTTTTTTTTTTTTTTAATTACAGTTTTCCAATCCCCTTGTTAAACAGAGTGATCTACAGGTCACTGAAACTGCAGGTCTTGATGATATCTCATTAACTCTGGCAAAAAGTGAAGGTGGAGGCAACAAGTCAAAAAGTGCTGAGGTACCAGAGGTTGACACCCAAAGCTTTAATGAAGCACAAATTTATTCACTGCCCCTCGATGCTCCTGCTGTTTCCTCATAGCTGATGAGATAGAATCATAGGATAATTAAGGTTGAAAAACACCTCAAAGACCATCAAATCCAACCGTTAAATTGGTCAAAAAGCTAAGACTTTTGACACTGTGACAATTTTGTTTTTCAACAGCCTTGCTCTGTGTCTGTAGTGGGTGTTCAATAAATTTAGCCTATAAATACATTATTTCTGTACCAAAACAGAAAACTCATCCTCTTAATTTCCTATACAACCATTTCAAAATGCTCCTCAGAGTCTGCCTTGTTCTTGTCCAACTTTCCAGACTTGTAGCTTCTTTGAAAAGTCTCACAAGTTCTCCTCATCCTTGCTCCTTTGAACACTTTTTTAGGCTTAACAAAGACACAAAGTTCCCCAAGCTTACTTTGATGGGGAATAAAGGAAGTACTTACTTCCAGAGAAAAGGAGGATGGCCCACAGTACTTTCAGTTTTCTGAATTTCTGCACTCGACTGAGCACGTTGGAGTCCACAATATGTGTGAGGAGGAGGCAATGACTCCTTGCAGAAGTTTTTAAATCACAAAAGAGATTCATTTTCCTGCAAGGTCTTAAAATCTTGTAACAACTGAGTGGTAGTTGACCTTTCAGTCTGTGCTATACATTTCTACAGAAGGATAGTTCTCATTCTCATTCAGTTTGTATTTTCTCCATCAAGCTAAGGACACTGACATGGCATTTATAGGAGGCCTTTTTTCCATGTACATACAATATGAGAACAGCTGCTATTCTTTACACTTTGAACTTCATGTGTATTTCCAGTCTCAAAAGAGTGCAGCTCACAAAATACACAAACTCCACAGTTTATAAAAAAGGAATTCATTTGGGGAATACATGAAACTACCTTTTTGCATTAGACAAAAAATACTACAGAACAAACTAATTACTATTCTGGTGTCTGTGCCATTGTGTTCCCCATCTTTTGTGGATCCAACCTCACTACTGGAAATGGAGTTTTCTTGTGGTTCACTTCTGATTTTGCTTTGCCATTAATTTTCCACAGTGTTATTAAAACTCGTTTTGTTGCATTTGGAGCACAGGTATCTTTACACAGCATAGCCCAAGATATTTGAATAACAGATATTCTTACAGTTTGAAGTTGTTTATAAGGTCTAATGTTAACCTTTTTCAGAAACAGGAATTGATAGAAACGGACTAAGAATGCAATCCAACTACTAACTCCATATAAATTTACAGAGCTTTTTGTCATGCCAAGACAAAGGAAGTGCAGCAAATACCTCACTAGGCAGTGTCAGTGCTCTGGTTCATGGATTACCCCAACCCACACTGCCCACAGCAGGTAGCCTGGTCAATATTACAATTTCTATCCATTAACACCACTCTGAGTATGCAGGTCCTCTGGACAATGAAGAGGAAAGCAGAGTTTCAGTCCTGCTCCTTCCTCTTAACTTTTTTCTCTCATCATCACTTCATAGGTGCTACAACAAAACAATTCTACAGCCACATTAATTAGGAAAAATATGCTCCTGAGATCCCAGAGTGCTGCTCAGTCTGCATGACCTACAAAAGAAGAGTTTCCTCTCCTGCAGAACACACATATCCAGTGATCTTCATCTAAATGAGCACTAATATACCCATGTGCTGCTATTAATGAACACACTGTTTTCTTTCCAGAGGTAATAATTTGGGGGAATAAAGGTTTCTTCCTATAAAACCCTTATTAAGGAACTGACAATCATTACTGTAAGAGTAGCAATGTGAGATCCAGTTTTATAATTATATTCTGCTTTCTGAAATGATATTTCGATTTTAATTACACACAGAAAAATTGTTCGTTTTTGGCTTCAGTCTCTGCAGTAACAGTGAATACCAACAGCTGACATATACAAATTGCAAATTGGTTATGAGTTAGCAAATCCTATTTATATTTCAGTTTTGGAATGTAAGGAGGACATTAAGGTGCCCTTCAGTCATTCTTCTGTAAATCCTCCTTTTAACTGAAATCACAGATTTCTTCTAGCTCTATCTATTGAATCAGTTGAATATATGAGCAAAATGCAGCTCTGAAATGAAAATTATTAGGACAGTTGTGAATCACTGTAAATCTTGATTGCATTCAAATGCTTGAATTTATTGAATCAAAACACTTCTCATCAATTTTTTTCCTTCATTCTTTCTCCTAAATTGACCTTCTCATCTTGCAAGATTGGAATATTCTCTGTGGTCTGTTATCAAGTCCAGAGATCCCTTTTGGAAAATGTGATTTGGGTGGCCCACATTATTTTATGCTTTTTAAATCAATCCTTTCCACTAAAAAAAAAGCAAAAACCATCTTACTGTTTAGTGTTGTATTACCACAAACTCACTATCAGTGCCTGACAGGTAAATGATCCTATGAATTAGCATCCACACTTATTTTAGATGCAAATCCATCTTCTTTGTAGATTTGTTGTGCAGACATGGTTCATTTACCAAGTGACAGACAGAATTTTGCTCCTCAGCAAAAAAGTTGCTGCTTCCCAACTTTAAAAAAGAAAAGTTTATTGACATCAGAAACAGGCTTAGAATTATCCTCAAAATTCATCCTAATCTTTCAATGAATTTAAAATCCTCCTTAGTTCCAATTTGATGCTTTTACAGAAGAAAATGTCAAAGATATTTTAAAAGAATAAAAAAAAGAACCAAGAGAGAAACCATACCTTGGTGCTTGTCACTTGAAATGGAACTTTGGAGCCCTTTGTAACTGGGGAAGTCAACTTCTCAGCTGGTTTTGAGGGGATTAGATTGATAGCAGGAGGCTGGTTGTGCAGAACAGAAGACAGGCAAAGCTGCACAGTTTCCTTCAGAGCCTTCAGCTGTGACTCCTGGGGAAAATAAGAAATCATCACTTCTCTAAGATGTGTTATTATGAGCAGAATTGCTTCTTTCTCCCTCTGCATTAAACCAAACACTTATGAGCAGCTGTTGCTTTTCCTTACTAATGGAAGGAATTAAGGCAGTTGAAATCAGTATTTTTATATGATTAGGTTACTCTGCAGTACACACCAACTGCCTAGAAAGTCACTGCACTCTCTTCTCTTTCCTCCATGCAGTTTTATCCACATTGATTATTGCAAATCATTATTAAATAATTTTTTTTTTAAAAAGAAAAATGCAATCTGCAAAACATCATACAGGGTCTTACCTTTTATGTGTAACAGCTACAGAGAAGTCACAAGTATTGCAAAGAGGTTTTGCATGGAGTTTTGTTGATAACATTCCACATAACTGGTATTTTTCCCCAGGTTATAAAGACTGATATTAATCCAGCAAAGACAACTTCCCTCATGAGCATATTATACTTTTGCAGGGTATAGTAAAGAAACCATAGGGGTTTTTTAACAGTTCAGAATATGTTTGTCCTGCTCCACTACTGTCCATCAAGCCAAACCAAAGCTTCTAAGTGGTGAAGTGCTTGCAAGTCATGTTAGGACACTTCAATTTTACTCAAAGAAATAGATGTACTAATAAAAATATCAGTCTGTAATTGAAATAAGCTGAGACAGTAAAAACAGTGAGAGAACTACAGCACTGAAGAAATCTTATTTTAAGTCTTTGCTCCATGAGAGCAAGACATGTCAAATGTTAGATATTGACATAACTTCCTTATATTCATTTCAAGGGGAGTTAGCAGCATTTGCCTTCCTGGGCAACTTATTCCAATGCCTAAACACTCTTCCAGTGGAAAAAAAATCCAATATCTAATCTGAACCTTTCCTGGCTCAACTTAAAGTCATTTCCTCTTACCCTTTCACTTGAGGCATGGCAGAAGAGACTGAGCCACCTCACAACAACTTCTTTTTAGGGAGTTGCAGAGAGCTATGAGATGCTCCATCAGTTTCCTCCAGACTGAACACCACCAGCTCCCTCAGCCACTCCACGTAAGATGTGTTTTCTAGACTCTTCACCATCTTCATTTCCCTTCTTTGGCCTTCTCCATCACCCCAAAGTCCTTTTTGAAGTGGGTGACCCAAAAGTGAACATAGTATTTGAGGTGTGGCTTCACCAGTGTTAACTACAGGTGGACAATCACTTCCCTAGTCCTGCTGGCCTAGGGAATATTTTTGATATTTGGGATATGATAGTGCAAATTATTCTTGATATTTGGGATATGATAGTGCAAAATTTGTCAGTCTTCCAAAGGTCCATCATGGGAAAGAGAAAAGTGCTGCAGTATAAATAAACTTATAAGAGACACTAAATCCACTGTCAGCACAAACTCAAATTCGATAAATATTTAAACCTATTAAAAATCTGTGCAAAACATTTTTTTGAGCTGTTCCTTTCTAATTTGACTGCCTTCCTCTTAAATAACTCTGCAGCTGTACTTAACTTCATGCATCATAATTAGTTCCACTGATTTCAGTAGTATTACTCCCAGGTACATGCAATTAAGTATACATCCAACTCACTGCAAGGCTTTCATTTGTTTTTGTCAAATTACACCAAAACGTTCACAGCTGAGAGAGACAAACATGCTTACATTATGTTACACTTCTTACTTTGTCAAGGGCTGCTTTTTCCAATTCATCTTTTGCAACTGCTAGCTTTTGCTCCAGATCTGTTAGCTGTTGTGCCTGTGGGAATAAAGAAAAAAAAAAAAAAAAAGTTGATACAATCTGCAATGAACTTTTTGAAAAAAAAAGTTGATACAATCTGCAATGTACTTTTACCCCTGTATTTTTTTCATGGAGTGCCTGTGAGAGAGGAAAGGATATAAATTTTACAAGTAATATATATGAATTGGGTCAGAATTGCTTGCAAAAGGACCAGGCCTCAAGGGATAACTGTTTCCCCGAGGAAAAAAAAAAATAAATAAAAAAATCTGTGTGTGAACTGTGCTCAAATGTGCTCTGTTTATGTGAATGCAGGTTTATTATAATTTCAATGGCAGTAGCAGATACTTATTTTCTTGACAGACTTTTCAAGATGACATGCACTCTGCTGACTGGATCATAACTTAATGCATAGCCACACAACATAAATTATGTTTAATGCAAACCCTGTAAAGGTGGTTAACTTGGTTTCTGCTGGGGCAATGAGTCCTTCCAGGACATGTCATAGCTGAGGTGATGAGCTCAGGCAAATCTGTAGTCCTAAACAGATACCTCAAGGGATGTTTGCTAGGTCAGGCATAGGCTGTACTAGCTGACAAAATGACAAAAGCTTGGAATTTTCAGTCCCCAGCTCATGTAAAGAACTACTTAGTTGCATTTTAAAACAGGATTAGACATTTATCTCCAGATTTAGCACAGTAATCACAGTTTCATTAGTCAAAACCAATCTTGTTTCAAAGCACAAGTCAACTGTTTGCTCAGATGTGGACAAGTCTCTGGTGCATAATTGGACCTTAGGCAGCAAAGAATATGGAACACACTTTTGATTTTCCATAGTGTCCTAAGAAAGAGGCTTTGGCCAGAAGTGAACCAGTGCTGATAGGATTGTCACAAACATATAAGAACTTTGGACCTCAGTAAATCCAAAGTAACTTTTCTTATTTATGTATTTAAGAGGAAAACTCCATTCAGAATATTTTCAGACTTTTCATTTCATCATCTATCAGAGTGTTGTTGTATTGTGGGATCTCATCTTCATCCTTTGCAGGAAAACACAATCCAAAGAAAAATAGCCTATTTTTTGCCAACAAAATCAACTAAAAATATATAAGCCACAGGAGACCAATGAGGTTAAATTTATCAAATAGAATACGTCGTAAAATAAATAAAGATATAGCTAAACTGGAGTTCAGTTTGTAACTTTCTACTCAGTTGTCATTTCTGACAAAGTCAAGGGAAACATTTTGGAGATCTTGTAACTTTCTACTCAGTTGTCATTTCGGACAAAGTCAAGGGAAACATTTTGGAGGTTGTTTTCTTATCAGAAGTCTTTGATAGTTATTCTCTCAAAACAATAGGCTTTAAAATGCTAAACATTAAATGTGTGATAACAGAAAAGTCTTCTCTTCCAGACTCTATTCAGTTGTTATCCAATGTGCTGAAATCAGCCTGTGGCTCATTCTTATCCTGAATAAAGTCACTGTTGTAAGATCTCTGGGAAAAAAATTATCGCTAATATTTTTGCATTATGTTCAGAACTGATATTTCATAATAGTTTTTCTTCTTTTGTTATGTCTTTCCTAAGCAGCTTTGCTAAATTTCCCAAGGGAGGTCACAGATGCTGAGGAAACACATTGGCTGAATAAACACACCATGGGGTGGAGATCCTGTCTGAAAGAGAGAAGAGTTTGCAGTATTCTCCCAGGGATGTTGATATGACAGGCCCATAAGGAAACTGTCCTCAGTTTTCTCTTATCAGCTCCTTTTAACATTGAGCTACACAAGTTACATTTACTATTACAGAGCAGCGTAAAAGCAGCAAGAAAGATAAGAGTATTCTTTCTGTGCTAAACAAATGAATATATAAATAACCTTTATGGAAAACAATGCTGCTTTTTTTTCTTTTTTTTTTATTTTCTGGAAAGCTTTCTGCAAGGAAAATAGGAGTTTTATGGTCCTTTGAACATAATGAAGAATATTTTAATGTCTCTTAAATAGACAAATTTTTCAAACATGCAAAGTCAGCTGAATTCTGCAGTTGACAATTTTAATACATGGAGGTGCAGATCATTGGGGAAGTGGATGTACATGTGTGAGGATCAGTGGAAATTTTTTTAATAATCTCTTCTTTTCCTCACTATAATACAAAGCAAGTTTCAACTTTTGTCAGCTCTTTAAGGATCCCATGCTTTAAGGGAATGAACTCTGACAAAGAGATGGGAGCTCAAACTCTAATCTCAGTAGAGATACCAACAAACTCTATAGCCTTGAGTGCATTGCTTAATTTCTGTGCTGCTCATTTTATATCTGCCACAAGGCTTAATGGCACATGGGGAGAGCTCGAAAAATATAAACAGACATCCATATATGCTCCATAATTAATCAACTGGATTATAAAATGGTTGGAACACATGAGAAGTATAAATACATGCCCAATATGATAAACTCATGTTATATTTACTGCCATTTGTTAAGCTGCTGTCACACAATGTTAAAAGTAGATATGATTTACCAATTCACTGGAGTATTAAAGGAGACAGCTCTCTCTTCCCCCTTTCCTTCTCCTCTCCCACTGAATCCCCAGAGCTTTAGTTCAGAGCCATTGACAACAACAGTTACCAGAATTCAAGAAACAGCTTCTTGATGTTGATAATGCAAAACAAAAAGCAAACAGCCCCTCTGTACTTACCTTCACATATACCTGCACAATTAATTCCTTTACAAAAAGCAATAGTTTAATGGGCATGGACTGCAGCATTCCCTCATGTCCTTTAGAAATCTGATAGTCTGCAGCTTACATCCTTCTGGTGAACTGCTCCAAGAAGCTTGCAATGTTCAGAGTGATACAGAGAGCAGAATTCCCTAAAGTCCTCAGCAAGGCACACAGAATGCAAAGTTTAATGGGATGGGAAGGCAGTGGAAGGGGGAAAAGGTACAAGTCCAGTAAGAGCAGCAGCCAGGATTTCATCCCAAGCATTCATGGTCTGTGCTAGCATCTATCCATTTATCAGGAAAACATAAGAGCTTCATAAAACAGCCTCAACAGCAATGATAACATTAAATCTGTTAAGCTTCCAGTATCAAAGCAACTGGAAATGAAATACCACCTGTTCTTGCCCAAAGCTAACAGCTCTCTCTCTCTCTCTTTGCTTTTGTATTAAAAAATTTTCCAGCCTATACCAAATAGCTCCTACTCTGCTCAGTGTGTCTGTCTTCAGACCTAAACCACACACAAACCAGCACACTGAACCTCCCCTCCCCCCAGGATATTTAGGACAGTGTAAGCTTGCTGCTCCCTTTGCTTCATAAATCAAATTTCCTCAGTCAGAAAAAAAGATCGATGAATAAACCTGCAGAAGTATTTCTGGCTATGCATAAAGGATCAAATTAGCAAAGCAGACAGACAATCTCATACAGAAATGTACATGGTCAAGAGATACTTCAGGTATTTGCACATCCAGTTCTCAGTGCATGAGGCTTTGGAATCCACAATTCATTAACATTGTCCATCTAAATTTTTCAGTGTGTTTTTAATTACATTAGAGCAAAGTTTCCCTGAAAGGCAAGTTATCATTTCCCTTATTTTGCAGTATGAGCACTTGGAGCAGAACCCACCCTACCTAGCCTGGGACCTACTTCTGAGCTGGAGGTCCCTTCATAATCAAGAACGATGTCTAGTCAATGTAGGTCAAGGAGTTAAGGCATAATTCATGGGGTGAAAAGCAGACAAATTCTTTAGGAGAAGATAACACTGGAAGGATTGGAAGCAGAGCCTGTGGTGCAGACATCCATATCCAGTCAGAGGAGACCCACATCAATTCCCATTCACACTAGATTCATTTCCTCCATTAACATCACCACTCACCCTAGAGTAATTCAGATCTGGTTTTGGGATCACTGGGTATTAGTGTAACAAAACCAAGTGGATATTAATGCTGAAAAATCCTACTGCTTTGGCCAAAGTAAAGAAACCTTCACACCAAGGCAAGATTAGAATTTACAATCTTTACCTCTGCTCAATCCCACTGAATTTGAAGAAAGATGTGTTATTTTTGGTAATGTTAGATGGCATGAAAATTCAAATGCTTAGATGTATAATATGCCTAATTTTTGTCTCTAAATCTGTTTCTCTGGTTTTGGTCTTATGATGACTTGAAAAAACTTGGAATCCATTTGTGCATAAAAAAAAAAAAAGAGAAAAAAATTTCACAGAAATCACACCATGTACTTTAAATGGCCTGTATTATTCCATCTTTACAGGACTGTAAAACAGAGAGACAGTAGAGAGAGTTAAATTCTTCCAGAAGGCAATTTGGACTTCATACTGGGATAAAAGACTTTGTAAGTAATTCTAGGTCTAGTTGCTTTGAAGATGACTACTTAACCTTCAGCCTTTATGCTGGGAAAAAAAAACTACTCCATTAACACCCCCAGTCAGGTGACCTGCATTGTTCTCCTCCTTCTTTAGCAGAGATTAACTTTTCCCTATGTTAACAAGGACTTGATGCCCTTCAGCAAAATGTCTTTAGGTTTTGTCCTTCCCTCCTTTCTTTTTTATTTTTTTAATGTAGTTGCTAGACAGATTATTTATTTGGATTGCTTAAGCCAAAGATCTTTCTTTTTCTAGAAAATTCTGACCTAAGGAACATTACATTGCTCAAATTTATCATAAACACAAAGATTTGCTTTAAGTGCTGACAATAAACTGACTTTGCCCAGGAGGAACTGCTGATCAAAGGAAAAACAAGAACCATCTCTCAAATATTCTATTGTTCAGTTAGAATGATGAAAAATGTGCTACAGACTCTATGAGTAGGGCAACAGGTTTTGTTCATCAGCAGTAAACTAGAATGTTGCTTTATGTGAGTACATAATACAGATATTCATAAATGAGATACTTGTCACTGCTTTTATCTGTTTAAAAGCAAAGACACCAAACAACTTTTCAGGCTCTGAAACTTCTCTTCCTTGGCCCAGCAACCAATGGAATAAAAAGCAGCACCTCTGTTAAGGAAAAAAATAAAGAAACCAAAATAGACAATATTTCTGAAGATGCATTATGGTCTGAAGTCTTTCTTGGTGCTCTGAGCTCTTTTCAGCACGGTGAGGACAAAATTATTCCTTAGAACTGCAGCAATAAAGGCAGCTATCATATTCCTAGATGACTTCAATATTACATTAACTCCAATACTTTAGCTCACTATAGTGAAATAAAACTTACCTTAAAAATCAAATCTTTTTTCCCATAACGAAGCTCTTTCAGCTGGGCTTGGATCTTTTTTGACTGAAAGGAAGGATAATAAAATCAGTTTTGTTTGGGGTTTTTTAATATTGATTTTTAAGATCAGAAAAACGTAGCAAGTTCTGACAACAACAGAACCTAGATTAACTTTAAAATGTAGAAAAAAAAATGCCCAAATCATTGTCAATTGCTTTTCCTGGTCAAAATCAGCCAAAAGTATCAAAGAAAATGTAAAATGGCATTTGCCCAAGGCACATACTGAGTTAGTGCTATCATGAAGAGCTGTTGGGCTTACACATTTTAGAGGAGAGTTGTTAATAATACTTTCCATGAAGCATAACTGAAGGCATCACTTTCAAAGTAAACAAATCCTGTTCTTAGAGGTAAAAAGTCTCCATAGGATTGTGCAGGTTATTCTTGGCAAAGATCAAGGTGTTCCAGGTAGTATCTAAATGGAACTAACTTCCCAGTTTGTGGCCATGCCCTTGAAAACAGGCTGATTTCTATCACTTGAAGATGCTATTTATTTTAAATATTTTGAAATTTATCCTTAAAATAATAAATAATAACCTATGTATTATTTGATCCACTTAAACAAAATACAATAGAAATGCATTTTTTTTTATATTAAACCCAACTATCCAAGGAATATTTCACCCTTTATGTATGGATCCTGTCCAAATGAATTCTATATTCTGCTGTGGATATATGTGTACACATACACACACATATATATATATTCTCAGTACAAAAGATGCAAAATTTCTTTGGGGTATGTTAGATTTAGAATAGAGAGGAACCTTCCTTACCTCTTCTGCATGAATCCCACAAAGCTTGTTTCCTGACAAGAGCTTGTTTTTGAGGCTTTTGTTCTGAGAAGGAGACAGAAAAAACAAACAACAAAAGAGTTTATTAGTGAGAGTTACTGTAATATTAAGGAACCATTTAACTATCTGCTCATAATGGTTTTATTTTATACATGGGTAACACCTTCAAGTCACCAGCAAAGACAGATAAAACAAGAGAGATGCATGAAGGCACAATATCCTCTTAGAGAATTCTACAAGGCTACTACTTTGCATTAAAATTTGCTTTCACAGGAGCAGGACTGCACACACAAACCTTCCAAAACACTCTGGCAACTGAAAGCAATTTAGATTTAATATGCTGAGGTAACAAAAGGGAAGAAAGAAACCTCTAATCCTCACCTGGTGTCAACTGCATAGCTCAATATTGGTTTCAGTAAATCATTATAACAACTGAGTAATAGGGCCAAGATCTCAGCACTTGACCTCGATGATCAAATTCATTGGGTCTTTTTGCTAAATTTCATCATTTGAAACTGCAGGTAATAAAAGCTGTGGAAGGTTAGCTACCTGATACAGCATTTTGCCAACTCAGTAGGCTCTCTCATGTATGAGTTTTAAAAGTATTTCTTCTCGTATTCAGGGAAAATAATAAACCTTGCTAAAGTGATTTTTCAACAGCCTGGTCATTCTGTGTGCAGTGCTCACTCACAGAATGCCAGAATTGACAGTCAAGAGTAAAGATTTCTCTGCAGTGTGAACATCTTTCAAAATGTTCAGAAACATATTCAAGAAACAGATCTTCAAGTGCTGGACATAACATGCTTAACACTAAAACAGAAATTAAAAGAACACCAAACAGAAATTAAAAGAACACCAAACCCAACTGCTCCTGTGCTAACGAACTGTAAATATACACACAGAAACTCAGCTCACCACATTTAAGGAATGTATTTATTACTGAACAGCAATAGTTTTCCTGAAGATTGTGCACGAGAACAAGTTGTCATTAAAGCAAAAACTCTCATTCTATCCAGTCCAAACTTAGCTCCACATCCCATTGAAAGACTGGCAGTGTGAATTCCAGAATCAGTAAGTCTTCTTGAAAAAAAACCTTCCTTATTAAAGCAAATGCAAAGAAACTAAAATTCTGTTTGAAGCCTCATTTGCACAAGAGGAGACCTGACATCCTTTCAGTTTTGCTGTTGCTCTGGACCATGCAGCAGCACACACTGCTGCAGAAACAATAAATCCTTCCCAGCTGTTTGACATGGATGTCCACAGCTCTGTGATGCAACAGAAAGGAATTGCAATGTTACTTTGAACAAGACAACCTAGATTTTGTCTCCCAAAACATGATCTGCAAAATGTGTTGCTCTGGTAAGTCTCATAGTCAATTAGTTCCTTTTGTTCTTTGTTTGAAAATGATGTTGTCGCTCATCAAAGAGAAATCCCTTATTGTGCTAACCATTTTAGGAATGCAGAACGAGACAACTGGCTCTGAACAAAAGGAACTGGGTAGCAGATACAAGATGAGCAAAGGTAAACAAAATAGAAATCAAAGAGCTGAAGCACACCTGGCTCATCCACTGCTCACCAGGGGGACATCTCAAGAGCTGTGCTGGACTCTGATCACACCATAGATGTGACTGGTTTCACATAAAGATCAGCATCACCTTTTGTGATGATGCCCAAACAGATGTTCCAAAGGCACAGCTTCATTAGGGACTTGCACTTAATTAACCCAGGATGTCAAAGCATCTCCTTTGATTTGACTAACTAGCTTCATTATCCTCCAGTTCCCCTTACAATTAGCTCAGTAAGACTCTATCCATATTTCAGAACCAAAGTAGGAATGAGTTGCAATCCTTACATCTTGACTCATTTACCTTCCTTTTGTTCAGTATCAACTACTATAAGAAACAACTTTTATTAATACATTAATATTTCATAAGTAACTCCTACATGTGCTGTTTTGAGAAGACCCTGCAGTAACCCAGAATGGGAGAAACTGTGTCAACAGGACACACACTGTATTAAATGCTTTTCACCATTTCCACAGAGAAACATGGCAAAAGAATAGAGTTGAAAGAATTTGTCCAAAGCCAAAAGTCGATGAAAATATTTCAAGTTAGGAGGTGGAATCCATTTTGGAGATTTAGCTAGGTTTAACATGATTTACCAATCCTGTCTGATTATCCATTCTATTACCAACAAGAACCCCAGCAGGGCTGTCAGAATGCAAGCAAAATAGTCATGATTCAATCTGAACTTAATTGTGTTTTTAGAAACCAAAGCAAGAATTAAAGGTTACAATTATTGAGAGCATGATAAGTAGGAGCTTTTCAGAGGCAGATGACAACGTCTTGCCTACGATTTGGGTGATTTTTATGTTACTTCACAAATCACATGTCACTCTACAAAAGATCCTGATTGATAATGTTAATTTTTCTAGCAGAATGGGAAGTATATCAGTCAAAACATGTGAAGTATAAGAGAACCTGGTTTTGTTTGGATTCTGAATTAAATATAGCAAAATGAGAAGTCTGATCAGGTACATGTTCTACAAGAATATGCAAAGGGGATATGCAAAACCAGATGAATTAATCAATGAAAATTTAAGGTTACGAATGACCATTGATTCAGTACAGAAGTTCTGACTTCTAAGACTTACAAGAATTCAAGCTTATGCCTGTTTAAATACCAAGCATCCCTTAAAGAGCAACACCAAATAAATTTAACTAGAATTTTACACAGATTTTATTTTAAACATTTCAGTTGTTGTTTGGTACTCTAATGGAAAAGGTCTTGGATTTTTCAAGCTTAAAAATAAGGAATTAGGGTCAGTAGCTGGAAAAAATAATCACAGAACACTTGAAGAGCTGCACCCATGTTTTAAAAAAAGCAGCAATTCCTACCATGACAGACTGAGCATATCACCTCCCTAGAGAAGGGGAAGAAAAATCCAGAGATATGACTCCCTTAGCATTCTCAGAAAACAATAACCATGATGCCAATTAGAAAACTTGGACAAAGACTGAAAAAAAAAAAAAAAGCACAAACTATACACTTGAAAGCTCAATAGAAGCACTTTTACAGCTGCAGTTTTAATTACTTCCTTTTCTGCAAATTCATATCATAAAAATCATTACTTATATAGCTGTGTATTATATTTTTTATAATTTCCCCATCTGATTTAGTGTATACAGTAAGTACCTCACTAGGCAAGAGTCACAGTTTATAGGTATTGTTAAATGTGACAAACTACCCCTGGGTCCAGTTGAAAGCAGTTTATTATCCTTGTAAATCTGAAGTTATGGGGATGAACATTTATCTGATGAATCATATATTCTGCTAACAGAAAGGTAAACTTACACCATCAATGTCAAAGGCACAAATTTTCAGATGTCATTTTTTGGAGTGAGTTTATCTTGGCTCCTGGTCACACCATGAGTACTTTAATCCTCATGTTTATGTTTCATATTCTGAAACACAAGTATAGTCTCATGGAATCAGCATCAGGATCTAATCCAGGATGAGAAAACTATGTAACTTAGACATCATCAGTACAAAACGATTTAGTTTGCCTGCTACCCTTTGAAAGCAAGGGACACAATGTATGTTCAGAGAAGAAAATCACTTTCTCTCTCAGAAAATTCTCAGCAATCAACTTCCATTCAGTCATTGTATCTGAGGCCTGACATCAGGATTTTTTGTTGTCTAAAAGCTAAATTTGGCTCTACTTCCTCTTGATGAATAGTGCAGATCAAACCACATTGAGCCCCAGCTCATAACTGGAACATTTCTCTCTTATGGGCACTACATTTTTTAAAAAATCCCAAACCTGAGAACAACAAAAAACTCTGGACTCTGCTCAGCAGGAGTGTCAGGGCCAATTGCCAAAGATGAACTGTTTCCCATCTCCTGTGATACAAAAGAAGTTCACTGTGCCCTTAGGAGAGAAATCAGAAGACACAACAAACCAAAACCAAATATCTGGATTTATCTGATATCACCTTGTATTGGTATCCAGTTTGCTTTGGATATTAGCTTTGTGTTTCACAATGATGAAAAATGTTTTATATCCCATGAAACAGTGCTGCTGCTTTAGTCCCAGCGGAGTTGGCTCAGCCCTTCATCTTCCTGAGACAGAAAAAATTGTGTTTCCTACACTCTCTGTGAGACTTTTCAAATAAAATCTTAAGAACTGCATTTCCACCTGTTGTTATGGCCAGTGATTTTTGTAAGGGGAGTTTGCCTTGATCCTCTTGAGGATGTTTGAGTCTCTTTTCCCCAGTTTTTCAGTGGCCAAGTGTGCTGAACAGCTGAAGGACTGTGCCCTATCAATGTGTTTTAGTAGTGATGATGCACACTCTCTGTGAGACTTTTCAAATAAAATCTTAAGAACTGCATTTCCACCTGTTGTTATGGCCAGTGATTTTTGTAAGGGGAGTTTGCCTTGATCCTCTTGAGGATGTTTGAGTCTCTTTTCCCCAGTTTTTCAGTGGCCAAGTGTGCTGAACAGCTGAAGGACTGTGCCCTATCAATGTGTTTTAGTAGTGATGATGCATGGATGGACTGCACACTTTTCACATTGGACTGGATGGACTGCACACTTTTCACATCTGTCTGGATGGACTGCACACTTTTCACATCTGTCTGGATGGACTGCACACTTTTCACATCTGTCTGGGTCTAAACTCAGAAAGCAGCAGCATCCTTCTAGCTCTGAATTTCTAGGAAAAGTCTCTGTGTGCTGTGAAATGCCCTCTGACACCTGAGCCTGCATTGTGATTAGGAGGCACGTGCAACATCAGACTCTGAGAGCTGAACTGGGTGACCCTGGCAAACATGTCACATTGCCACTGCTGGAAGCTTAGACATATTTGGACTTTTAATGCCTTGTTTCATTCAATTCAATTTCTTTCTGTGACTTGTCCCCCTGACTTACATTACAGATAAAGCCACCTAAGATCAGCTTCCCCAAACAATCAGTAGATATTCCTTTTCCTCTGCATATCTATCTCTGCTAATAGTACAGACTACTATGTTTTTTCCTGAATTTC